GCATTGGAACATCGGCGTCCAGCTTCGTAGTTTATTGCCACCGAAACGGATTTAACAGGAAGTAAAGTTTCATTTAAGTTCTATATAACGTAGGTATAAATAAGCACCTTAAAATTTTGTTTCACGCTGTAATTAATTCTTTCGCCCGAAGCTTTTTGGTAATCAAGATTTGCACGTAAATCTAAATTTTAAAGTAGTGGATTAAGTAAAGAATTAACACTAACAGTATTAAATAAGTAAGCGAATCAATTAATTAAATTGAAACGCTTCGGGATAATTAATGCAAGACTGCGAAATTACTTTAAAATGGAGTCGGAACTTTCAATCTTATTTAAATTTATATTCCTAGGAGTTCTCGATTTTTACCGCAGCGAGCTGGGTTGTTTCACTTTTTTTAAGCTCGGCAATAAGGAGAGTATAGTACATCAACATTATGGCGATTTTTTCTCTGGGATCCTGTTTTATGTTTAAAACGGTAAGCGGATTTGCCTAGGGTCTTTTACTATTTAGGACCGAGAGAAAAAAAACGAGAAACTCTAAAATAATATTCTTAACGTTGGGGTTGGTTCTATAAACGGATTGGGTGTTTGAAAGGACTTTATGCATTTAAAGTTTGAAATCGTGAGACTATACAAATATACGGCAGGAAACGGAGTCCTGTCAATAAAGGCATACATTTTATGCTTTATTAATGTTGGCGGCTTTATAAAGAAGCGATCTTGCATATTCATTTAAAATGAGATCGCGTACAATAAAAACGAGTATGTCTTTTCTCCATAATCTTATCCACAATAAAATCGATTGTCCTGATTTGTTACAATACCTGAATTTTTATGTTCCCCGTTTTGGTTACCGTGGTAATGATACATTTTTATGTTTATTGTAATTCTAATATTTTGAAAAATTAAATTTTAGGATTTCCGGTAATAGATTATGGCACGATCTTAGTAAGCTTTAAAACTACAAATTCGTGCAGTTTGTTTCATATGCGATTGGCCCGAAGCTCTATGTAGCAGTGGACATTGCTGGACTGCCGAATTTGGGAATTTTAATCCGCCCAATTAAGTGAGTATAACGTAATTATTTGTGTTGCAGCAAACTTCGTCTGATTAGATTGGGTCTCAAAATAACCGCGCTTAATTAAGTTGAAATGGTGGAGACGTACGTTACAGAATCCATTTTCGAATTATTTTTATTATGCGTGATTTTTGATACAGAATACCAAAATGGATTTGAAAAAATACTGTTCCATTTAAAAAAATCAACTTTGGTACCAAAATCTACTTTTTGACACACCCTGTATATTTTTTCTTTGGTGAAAGATTAGTCATTTTGATAAATTGCTTGATATTTTCATTCTGATGTTAAGTATAAAATGTAAAATGTGATTATAAAATAATGTGAAAGAAACATAGTTGGAAAAGCTTTATTTTAGTTCAAATGGACTACAAAACAACTTTTTAACGAGACGCTAAAAACAAATCCCGATCTCATACATATTTAAATTTTACATTGATATTTTCGCCCGCAATCCGCATTTGCCAATTCACGCGTAACACGACGAAATACAATGGAATTAATCGGGTGCAACAAAACAAATCTCTTTCAGTAGTAATTTTATTGAGATGGCCTCTTTGAAAAAGACTCGCAACAAATTCTTGAAAACTTAAACACGAAGTTGGCTTAAAGCCAAAATATAACTTTAAGGAATTTGCTCTATTTACGCCGCAAAAATAATTAAATTACGCTTCGCCAAGTTTTGTAATTGAAAAGTGTGGTGTGGCATGTGGTTGAAAAATAAAAGGTTGATATTAAATATTTCGTGTAGAATGCTCTACCTGTCAGTGGTAAGCGTCGTACTCGAATTGGGGATATAAAGCACACAAAATAGGCGACGCCGTACTTTTAATTCATTTCAAGTTTCATCTACCTTCCTTCTTGTTTTAAATAGAACCCTCTGTATATTATTGTATGATTCGATTGCTTGGTAATTTTAGTGCGACTATGTATTACAAATTGTAACAGTTTTCTTTACGATCACTGCATTATTTTGTTTGACAACTCAACATCTTCTCCACATCGAACGAGGTCATTGGGTCAACAAGAAGATACTTGTACGGGGGACCCTTTTTTTTACGGGACTGGAATCTAATCTCGGTATTAAGGATCATGGAAACGAAACTAAAATACTATAAAATCAGGCAATCTTTTCATGCATCGATTTTAATGAAAATCTGGGATTAAGTTAAACTTACCCTCCACTTCAAAATCTATATTATGCCGATCTTCATTTTTTAGGAGTGAATCCTACCCATTTTTGCAAAAATCCATAGAACCACATATTAAAGCCAAAGAAGAGTACAATTTGGTTCAAATGAGTTGAGTAATTTTGTTAGAGGGTTTGAAACATTATTTCAGAATATTTCAACCCTGAAAAATCGACCCTTATTGTGGTTTAATAAAAAAAAGTAGATATTTACTCTCAAAAAGTTAACAATTTATTATTGTTCAGTAAGCATTTCGAACAAAGTATGGTGTTCAACCTCCTGATATATGGATCAAACGTTCACATAAACATTAAACAGTTCATAGAGAGGAGGAGTATTTGTGTATTTGTGCAAAGGGAAAAGTTCTGGGCAGCCGCTCTCGAGGGGGTCATCTGTGAACCTATTTTCTAGATTCAGATTTTGTAAGTGGTGATATTCTTTTTGAATCGCCCTGTATATATATACAGGTGTATGAAATGTAAGTGTGTATGTGTAAGTTATTAATGTGTAGTATACGAAGTATTCATATACCGGTCATGTAGATCCATCATGTTCCGATTTGTGCTTTCAGAATTTTTCGAAAATTGTAATTCGTTTTTTAATTATTACTCCTTTATTTTTGATGATAGTAAGTGCATTTTGTAGGATTTTACAAGAGCTGCAAGACTATTTACATAATAATAAATAATAATAATAATAGTTTATTGCCATGAATAAATTCATTTACATTGGCATTGTCGCATAATTTCAAACAGTTTGAAGATTGGGCTACTAGTTTAAAAGTTACAGCCCTTTGAATTTTCTTTCGAAATTGGTTTCTAGTCTATAACTTTTGATTGAGAAGTCTGATCGAAAAAGTACGAATTGTTTGGATTCTACGCACCAAAATTAATAAGAAAAAGTGTTTTCCCGAGAAATTTTGGTGCAGTCGATTTTTGGTAAAAAAGGAAGGTTATACACTGCCTTTTTTTGAGCCCCGAAAAAAAAATTGTCTCAGATCGACCGGGAAAAAAATTTTCTTATAGAATGTGGCCTGTAGAATCCATAATTTCAAACAGTTCCAAGATTGGGCTACTAGTTCAAAAGTTACAGCCCTTTGAATTTTCTTTCGAAATTGGTTTCTAGTCTATAACTTTTGATTGAGAAGTCTAATCGAAAAAGTACGAATTGTTTTGGATTCTACGCACCAAAATTAATAAGAAAAAGTGTTTTCCCGAGAGATTTTGGTGTACCTAGTCGATTTTTGGTAAAAAAGGAAGGTTATACACTGCCTTTTTTTGAGCCCCGAAAAAAAAATTGTCTCAGATCGACCGGGAAAAAAATTTTTCGTATAGAATGTCTCCTGTAGAATCCATAATTTGAAACAGTTTGGAGATTGGGCTACTAGTTCAAAAGTTACAGCCCTTTGAATTTTCTTGCGAAATTTGTTTCTAGTCTATCACTTTTGATTGAGAAGTCTAATCGAAAAAGTACGAATTCTTTTGGATTCTACGCCCCAAAATTAATAAGAAAAAGGGTTTTCCCGAGAAAACTGCCTTTTTTTGAGGCCCGAAAAAAAAGTGTCTCAGATCGACCGGGAAAACGCATCAAATCCTCTTAAAACTCTTGATTTGAAAATGGGGTGAGCTTAAAGGGCTAAAACAAGGTAGTGCTCGCATATAAATTTGAAATTTGAAAACACGCCTAAAACGTCTGTATCTCACTTAAATTTTGTCGCACAGAAAATTCCCGGTGAGGGGTTTTTCACTTTTAGCTTCAATTATTTCAGAATTAAGTCTTCTTAAACTGGTCACGCTTCTTGAATGTGTTAATAATACGTTAGAGAAAACTGGAAAAGGAGAAGGACTAATTTTAATTAGGGTGGTAATTAGGGGGATGCTTGCGCTGATTTTTTTGCTGCAAAAGGTACGGATCTACCTTATTTTCATCGTAACTCACTTAATTTTAATGCTAAAGGTTGTTTTTAAAAAAAGAAGAAAGGTTTTTTAAATACTTGAAAGAGTATTCTTCAAGTTTTACCGCGGGGAAAAATGGTTGAAACTCTTATGACAACGGCCAATAGAAATTATTTTTAAATTGCCGCCATGTAGTCGGACGTCATCGTACCTACGCGACGGGTACAACGAAAACGAAAAATTGTGAGATTAAAAGTTAGAAGAAAGTGGTCAGTTGTCATTAAATTATCAACAGACAATTCATTATCCATCTCGGCCAATTACCATAAATTTATCCCACCATCCTATTACATTCCCTTCTGAATATTAGTGCCGTTATGGATAATCGATGGTAAGTTACAAAAATAAATACATTTGGTCCTTCGAGCAGGATTTGCGGAAATTTTTTGGATAATAAGTTCGAATCGGTCGAACTTGAGATAAGTTTAATCTCGCAATTTTATCGTTAATACATACCTATTAGTGAATTTTCGGAAAGACAAAGGGAGGTTGATACCCTGAGTACGAAGGCGTGCGATTTCAGCGGGAAATCGTGGTTTTATCAGCGGGTTATCAGAGGGCTTGTTTTCGACTCAAACTTGTTTATTTGTTACTTATTAGAATACAATATTCTTGTCTATTGCTTATCTTTACCATACAGGTATTGCTTGTTGATAAAGAGACGTATAATATTGCAATGGCAACTGTAGCGGAACGAAAAGTTAGAACTTTGACTGCTAAAAAAGAGTCGTTATTTACTTATTTGTAATACTCCAAAACTTATACGATTTGTCTAAAGATTTAGGTAATTCCAATAAACTAGAAAAGTTTAAGATATTGTATCGGTCCTTAGAAACTACAAAAAAAGATTTAAATGTAGTTTTAGAGGAAATCGCGGAATATAGTTTGGAAGTTAATGAAGATTATAAGCCAGATTTTAAGGTTTTGAGTACTATAGATGAACTTTGTTGTCACATTAGTAGGGCCGCGGAACGTTATGTAAAAGTAAAGGCAGCGGCAAGGGAAGGCGCGCCGGCAACGGGGCCCTCAGTGACGGCGGCGGTACCCAAATTACCGAAAATTGAATTACCTCTGTTTTCTGGGGAAATCAGGGAATGGGAAATCTTTTATTCAATATTTGAAAGTTTGATTCATGGAAATAAGGATCTATCGGACGCCGATAAGGTGCATTATTTGGTCGGGAGGCTTAAGGGTCCAGCTTTGGCGGTTTGCTCCGGATTAGCTCCCACGGGGGAGAACTATGAAATCATTTGGAAAGCGCTTCTCGATAAATACCATAATAAAAGAGTTCTCGCTAATAGTTATTTGGAACAGATTATAGACTTTAAGCAGCTTCTATACGAGGCTTCAAAGGGCTTAAATATATTCTTAGAAAAATTTGATGCGGCAGTAAAGGCTCTTAAGAATTTCAAATTAGTTGATTTAACGGATTTCATTTTAGGCTATTTAGCCTTATCAAAATTAGACCCGGCCACAGTAAAATTGTTTGAAATTTCTAAGCGAAATGCGGAGCTTCCTAGTTACGAGGATATCATAACGTTTGTAAAAGACCAGTCAAAAATATTAAGTTTGAATAAGAAGCTACCACTAAAATCGGGAAATCTGGGTGAAAGCGTAGGAAAAATATCAAAGTCTTTTTTGGTCAATGAGGCTCCTAAGGAGGAGAATGCGGCTACCACTTCTCATACTGGAAACAGTTGTATTTATTGTCATAAGGGGTGGCATTATTTAACTAGATGCGACAAATTTAAGCGGTTGACTCCGGCTATGAGGTATGAAGCGGTGAGAAAAAATAATTGGTGTTATAATTGTTCACATCATGGTGTACGGTTCTGCACATCTGATCGGTCGTGTATCGAATGTCAAAAAAGGCATCACATTCTGCTACACATGGGTAGGCCAAATAGGGAAAGGCTAAACGAGGCGACAGGGTCTTCGAGGGGAAGTGCAGATTTGGATGTGCAGAGGCCATCGGTTTTAGCGGAGAGTTCAGGATTGGTGACTAACCTGTGCTCGACGGAGGAGGCAACAGCCAATCCGATGCCTACTAAGCATACGGTTTTGTTATCAACCGCGGTGGTCGATATTCTAAATTGTCAGGTTGGAGGTCAAACAGCTAGATTTATTTTGGATAGCGGAAGTCAAGCGAACCTGTTAACGACTAGGTGTTGCAAAAATTTGGGTATTAAAATTTCGAAATGTTATTCCTCGGTGCAGGGATTAGGTAAGGTGTCGGAACCGGTAAGGGGTATGGCAGATGTTGATCGCGTCTCGTCATAATCGGAATTGTAAATATGCACTTAAGGTGTTAATAGTCGAAAAAATTACGGATAAACTTCCTAGGCTTCAAGTTGATACCGACGGCTGTTCTCATTTGAGAGATATTCCGTTGGCTGATGATTTATTTTACCAATCTCGAGAAGTGGATGGGATTCTAGGGGCGGAAACATTTTCTTGTTTAATTGGTTCTGGTAGAGTATTGGGTACAGCCGGAAAACCAATTGCTCTTCAAACTACTTTGGGGTATGTTGTAATGGGAAAGGTGCCGGTAGCTCCAGTACAAACGGATATCCAGGCTTGTTTTACTGTATCCAATGAGTCCTCACTGGAACAGTTAATGAAAAAATTTTGGGAAGTCGAAGAAGTTCCACAAAAGGCAATTCCTAAACCGGAGGAAGTTGAGTGTGATAAACTTTATAGGTGCACAAAGGCTAGAGATGAAGAGGGTAGGTTTAAAGTCGCTTTACCATTTAAAACTTCCCCAAACAATTTAGGAGATTCTAAAAGCATGGCTCAGTGTCGTTTATTATCATTGGAGAGAAGATTATCTAAGGTTCCGGAACTTCGATTGGAATACAATAGGGTGATGCAGGATTATATCGATCAAGGTCATATGCGATTGGTTCAGGAGATTAACGAGGGTCAGTCATCCTATTTTATTCCTCACCACGCGGTATTTAAACCCGAAAGTATTAGTACTCCGGTAAGGGTTGTGTTTGATGCTAGCGCTCCCTCAGATAGCGGCGTTTCTTTAAATGATCTGTTGTACAGCGGGCCAAAGCTACAGGCAGATATATTTACAATGTTAATTAATTTTAGACTTTTTGGTATAGCTATAACGGCGGACATTCGTCAAATGTACCGCCAAATAAAATTAATTGAGGACCATTGGAAATTTCAGCGGTTATTATGGCGTTTCGAACCTCAAAGCGAAGTAAACGTTTATGAGCTTACAACGGTAGCGTTTGGGGTGAAATCTTCTCCTTATTTAGCGTTGAGAACTGTTAAACAATTGATTCTGGAAGAAGGCTTCAAATATCCGTTAGCTGCTAGAATAATAAATAGGGATTTATATATGGATGATTTGGTAACAAGTGTCAGTGAATTTGAGGAAGCCTATAGTCTTCATGTAGAATCTATTAAATTGTGTGCGGCGGGAAGATTTGAATTAACTAAATGGTCTACAAATTGTACTGACTTGTTAGAAAAAATTCCTATTGATAAGCGGTTATCAAATTCTGTAAGTTTTAAGGCGGATACTAAAATTTTGGGAATGCAGTGGAATCCAGATTCAGATTCTTTGAGTTTTTATATAACACTTCCCGAGTTGAAGTGTACCAAGCGGCTAATCTTGTCAACAGTGGCGAGATGTTACGATCCGATAGGTCTCATTGCTCCCTTTATTCTCTATTTGAAATTATTAGTAAAAGAGTTGTGGCGGTTGAATTTAACTTGGGACGAGGAACCTCCTGAAAATATTATGCAGGAATGGATTAAACTACATAACGAGTGGAGTATCCTGGAAAAATTTAAAGTGTTACGACATGTAGGTGCGATAAAAAATACACCGGTCATGTTGGTAGCATTTGCGGATGCAAGTTTTGACGGGTACGGCGCGGTTATATATTTGAGAACGATAACAGCGCAGGGAAATATTCAGGTTAGATTAGTGTGTGCAAAATCTAAGGTATCTCCTTTCAAAAAAATCACAATACCAAGATTGGAACTTTGCGCGGCAACATTGTTATCCAAATTGCTTAAGCACGTGATCGAAGTTTACGGAGAGAGAATCGTAATTTCAAAAACTTATGCATTTTCAGATTCGACTACGGTGCTTCAATGGTTGAAGTCAACCTACATTACGGATATTTTTGTGGCTAATCGGATAGAACAGATTAGGGAAAATCTGCCTTCTAGTGTTTGGCGCCATGTGAGTGGTACGGAAAATCCTGCAGATTGTCTTTCTAGAGGGTTGTCCCCTTTGCAATTAATGGAACACCGTTTGTGGCTGTCGGGCCCAGCGTGGTTACAAATCAATGAATCACTTTGGCCAGTGACTTCTATTGATTTGGGGGAGGAAGGTCTAGAAGGCGATCAACATATACACACCAGTTTAGTCAATGTTCGGGAAAAGGAAGAACATCCCTTATATGAGTTGGTTTTGCGTCGTTCGTCTTGGTCATTTATTTTAAGGACTACGGTATGGGTACTTCGGTTTGCAAAATTAATTCAACTGGGAGAATTTGTTACTTCTAAAGATTTATTTATAGCGGAGTCTATATTAATTCAAAATGGTTCAATCTAAACATTTCGGTTTTGATATCAAACAATTAGTTTTGGGTAAGGAATGTTCGGAAAAATTGCGGAAATTAAGACCATTAGTTCAAGATGGATTACTTAGGGTGGGGGGTAGATTGGGTCGGGCCCAAATAACCTTTGATCAAAAGCATCCCCTAATTTTGCCAGCTAAAGAGCCATTAGTTGATAGATTAGTGGATTATTATCACCAGACTAATCTGCATACGGGGCCTCACTTACTGGAGGCTATCATTAGACAAAAATATTGGATAATAGCGGGTCGGAATCTCATTAGAAGTCGGGTACATGCGTGCAATCACTGTTTTAGGCGTAAACCACTTGCAAAACCTCCGATAATGGCGGACTTACCATCCTGTCGGGTACAGCCAGCTAAAGCGTTCCTGCATACGGGAGTAGATTATTTCGGGCCTATCAATATTACTTTAGGTAGGAGGCGAGGAACGTCGATGTATAAGGCTTACGTATGTTTATTTGTGTGCATGAGCATAAAGGCTGTACATATGGAACTGGTAAGTTCCTTATCAACTAATCATTTTTTACAAGCCTTTAAGCGGTTCTTATCTCGTAGAGGTCCTTGTGGGGTTCTCTATTCGGATCAGGGAACCAATTTTATCGGAGCCAAGCGGGTACTTTCGGATCTATACATGTTTTTAAATTCTCGGGAGTATACCGATACGCTGATGGCGGAATTATCCACCCAGGGCGTTGAATGGAAGTTTAACCCTCCCTCGGCACCACATATGGGTGGTATATGGGAGAGTCAGGTTAAATCAGCCAAAAGTCATATCTACAGAGTTATCGGTGATCAATTGTTAACATACGAAGAATTCGCTACTTTTTTAACACCGATCGAAGGGTTACTAAATTCTCGGCCTCTGTGTCAATTGTCGGCGGATCCTTTTTCCCCGAGCGCTTTAACACCCGCTCATTTTTTGACCGGGTCACCGTGGGTAATTTACCTGCGGAACCAATTTTAGAGATTCCACTCATAGATTGGATAGCTTCCAAATGATCGATCGTTTAATTCAAGAATTTTGGAAACGATGGCACCTGGAGTACCTTAATACGTTGCAAACTCGGAAAAAGTGGTATAAAGATACCTACCCCTAATATAGAAATTGGAACGGTAGTAGTTTTAAAGGCAGATAATTCACCGCCACTACATTGGCCGTTAGCAATTGTCACGGACGTATTTCCCGGAGAGGACGGTACGATCAGAGTTGTTAAAGTTAAAACCACGAAAGGGAGCTTTACGCGACCTGTCGTTAAAGTATGTCCTTTACCTACACAGTAGATCTTATCAGTTTTGGAGTATATAGAGAAAGTAAGGGATTTTTTTTTTCTTTCATCTCATTTTGAGATTTGTTTTTTTTTGTTTTATTATGCGGGAGCAATGGTATTTGGGAAAATTTAAGGTTATTCAATGTTTAATAATTACATTTTTTTTTGGTATTTTTTAGGTACAATTTGAGTTGAAAACAAGTTTTCATGGTGGGGGGTATGGACACGCAATAGAAATTATTTTTAAATTGCCGCCATGTAGTCGGACGTCATCGTACCTACGCGACGGGTACAACGAAAACGAAAAATTGTGAGATTAAAAGTTAGAAGAAAGTGGTCAGTTGTCATTAAATTATCAACAGACAATTCATTATCCATCTCGGCCAATTACCATAAATTTATCCCACCATCCTATTACATTCCCTTCTGAATATTAGTGCCGTTATGGATAATCGATGGTAAGTTACAAAAATAAATACACTAGATACACACCCGTGATCTCTGCCAGACCGTGCCGCTGCGACAAGAACAGTTCCGAACACCCGGGCGTATGTGAGTGTCATTCGGTCCGCCCGCCAAAGCGCAAGCCATTGTTCGTCCTTTATTGGGATGTGCCAAATTTCCATGCCTACTTTGGGCCAGCTGGTTGTTCTGCGCTGTTAAGATTGAACCTTCCTTGATGTGGGTTTCTGACAGTAAAGTCGTAAGAAGCTCCTCGTTGGCTAATGCTACTTTTAGTATTTGTCGGGAAGGATATAAAGTTCACTAACCAATTCATCGCTAATTGATAAGTGTATTAAGTACTTGTATATTTAGCTTGTTTTCGATCGCGATTTGCCTATACATTTTTCCATGTGGATTTATCGCCTCTATTTCACTTCATCTTAAATTGTAGGCGAAACTTTCCGCGGTTTGTAATTCTCGGTCTCCGTGTCATTGAATGTAGAGAAATGGCGGATAACATTATCTTTGTTGAGCTCGGAATTTCGAAATAACTACTTCTTGGTTGATTCTTGTTCAGCCGTGTGTCGATTTCTCTATACCACTCAATCATTAACTCCAAAACCTGAATGTTAAGGATGTCTCCTAAGTTCCTTCCTCTTCTCTTCACGTGACAGCCTGTCACGTGTTGTAGAGCCATCCCGGTAGCCATCGCGAAGTGTGGTACTTTTTTGTTTGCATCCTGTGCTTCGTAAATCCCCAATGTTTCACAGTTGGGAGTTTTTCTGTTAGATGATGTGACGTTATTGCATGTGCCTTAACTTGTCTATGCTAAACAGCTGCTTTTCATAATCTTCAGTTAATTCTGGTTTTACTATATTGGACCTCGATTTAAACCTATTCCTTCTCTCTATTCTTAGGCTATTTCCTCTCCTAATGTGTTCCACATATAGTCCGTTGGTTTACGGGGTATGTTTATGGTGTAATTTGCCCTTCCCTGTTGTTGCCACCATTCAGAATATTCTGCGATACAAAGCAAACGCCTACCTGCCTACCCTCTGTGATCTGGCAGGTGCTCAACAGTAAGTGATGTTGATGTTTTGACGGCCTGCTCTGTCAATTATCGCTGTTTCAGAATTTAATGGTATTAATTGATGTCATGGGCTGCGTATTTGAATTTTTCTCCTCACCGCTTATGGTGACGGTTACCTACTGCGTCCCACAGTTCCATCTCTGACTGGGTGTAATTCTTTCAGATCCATTGCTAACGGCCCATTTACCAAGGTGTTAAATGATCCGCTCGTTTGCTTGATCAGCAACCACATCTTTGACTTTGATATTGATCCCTAGCGGGTCTTTCCATTCCACACACACACCCGCTGTTAGCAGTCAGTTGTGTAATCTACTCCGTTTGACCAAGCTTGCCCAAATTCTCTCTCATTTCTTGTAATGTGTTCATCTACTGCCCCAGTTCGACTGGTTGTCTCGCGCTGCTTTTTCTTTCAAAACGCTCAGCTCTAAACATAGGCTTTCCAACTCACGAAAAGTGCGCCGGTGCAGTTGAATCCGAGGCATGGGTGTCATCCCTACTACTTCTCTTTCCTTCCGCGTGTAATTAAATGGCCCCTCAAGAAATTTAGTAAGACCGCCGTAGCCCTCTATCTGTTGAGATTAACCGTGGGCTAATTCTTCGTATGTTAACGTCCGCCCTGCTCGCCTATTACTCCGCCGTCTTCGAGGTTGTACTTTAAGGGTGACCCTCGTTAGACGCCCCACTCTCCCCAGATTCCACTACCACCAATCATGTGGACTTGGCTGGTGGGATAAATGCCATTGTGTTCACATAGAGTGGATTTCTTTCTTGACATCCTTCCCGTTGCACGATGGGTTGAACCTTGTTCCGAGAATTTTGCTTGGGCACCGGCCAGAATTTGTACCCATTGTCACTGTATAATGTGTGACAAACGTCTCTCCTAGGCCAGCTGAACGTTTTTAGTGCTGTCGGCAATAGAACTGCCTCTGTTGTCATATCAACTCAACACCCAGCGGTGAAGCTTCGGTTGCTGAGACAGATAACACCCGCCCTACCGTTAATCCTTAGTATGATTTGTGTCCAAGAACCGCCACAGCCCTTTCATGCTCTTACTTGTAATGGTCCCCGCATAAATCATCCCACAAGTCTTCGAAGATGGGAAACAGATGGTGTTATTTGCTAGCTGCTGTAGACTTCCCGCCATTATGTTCGCCGCCCGTCCGTTTCTTATATCGTAATATCAGGTCGTCCACACTTGGTGAATGATCGGCCGTGTACGTGCTTTATCTTCCATTGATGCGATGGCTCCCCAATATTCACGTCTTAAGTAAGCTACGGTAATGTCTGAAAGAGCAACACTCCATCGTACATGTCTTGATGTGCATCCCCCATTATCAGGCAATATGTAAATGTACGGCTTTTTGGTGCAGAATGCATGGGATCGTTTTTGTGTGTAAGGTAACTTTGGAATGCGTTAACTCTTC